CTAAGGAAGACAAATTCCCAAAGTATGGACAGTAATAGGGGGAGAAGAGTTGCCTGAAGACAAAACATTTATAAATCCAGACCAGGTGTCAAGGGTTTTTATATCCCTCCCGTCCATGAGGCTGACATGGTTAGCCATCACACTTGCACTGTTCTTCCCCAACCACAGCCATTCCTCACTTTGAATGTTCTGGAATGACTCCTCTGCATCCTCACACTGACTGGGGGTGGGAAGGGGGTGGCTGAGGTCCTTTCCAACTCTAAAATTCACAGTACAAATGAAGGATGGATTTCTACTCACAAACACACACAGTTACACATGTACACACACGTGATATACATGCCCGATAAGCACTTACCTGATAACGTGTTGGCTGATTGAGAATGCTGTTAAAACTGTGTGATTCAAAAACTCTGGAGTTAGACTGAGTGAAGAGGTTTAACTAGGAAAAAATACAATTAACCTAGTAAATGAGAATACATTCATTGGAAATCAAAACTACCATCTATGTTTTTATTTTCTCCCTGGTATTTCTGGAGTTCAAGTTTGGGGGTAGCATTCTTCTCAAATGTCTTTTAGAAATAATAATTGAAGGTGTTTTGCAGAAGTATTTTGGGGCAGCGAGATGCTGCAGTGGATAGATTATGGGCCTGGAGACAAGAAGACCTAAGTAAAAAAAAAAACAGTCTCAGACACTTAATTCCCTGTGTGACCCTGGACAAGTCACTTAACCTCTGTTTGCCTCAGTTTCCTCAACTGTAAAATGAGAATAATAAAAAATGAGGATAAAATGAAATAATATTTGTAAAGCATTTAGCACAGTGCCTGGGACATAGTAGGTCCTATACAAATGGTAGCTATTATTATTATAATGAACTCAATATCCTTGTTCTTTAAAATGTTGAACTACTTAAATATGTAAAACCTATTAAACCTATTGCTCATATTAAAAACTTTTTTTTCTTTCTTATGTCCCTCTTCATGCTCCTACAGATTGTTCTGGGCTCTGAGGAGGTCAGTGCTACCTAGAAATGGGTCTGTTGTTCATTTTAATGAAGGGCTTCTCTTTATGAAATAAAGGACTTCTTTTCTCTCATTAGAATATAAGCTCCTGGAGGGCAAGACATCTTTTGGTTTTGGTTTTTTAACCCCAATGCCTAATCCAGTGCCTTACACACACTAGGCATTTAATAAATGAATGTTGTAATGCCCTGAATTGAATTTCCCACCACTGGAGGTCTCCTTCAAAGAAAGGCTGATGTAAAGCACCTTCCTAGATACTTAATTAGATCTTTAAGAATCAGGCTAAAAGTGTTCTATACGCTTTGCCATTTTGAGTGAGTGGGTGCAGTTGACGATCGTGACCAGCCACTCCACTGATGAACAAGTGATACACACACGGAGAGGACTAGCCTTCCTTACCACATGGGCAGAGCAGATGGGGGCCTATCTCTACTGGAGTGGGTAGGTACACCAGGAAGGGCCCTCCGTGCAAAAATTTCAATGCTACTACTGACTTTCTGCCATTATAGCTTCATTCCTTTGGATGTGAAAGAGTCTCTTTTGAATAGGAAGGAGTTAAACCACAAGCTATTCAAAGCTCACACGTTGGCATCAGTTAACAAAATGTAGCAGAGTTCAGTTAACCCTCAGATGACAATAACATCGTCCAAGGAGGGATAATGGGTGGGCACCTGGGAGGTAGCCAGGTGCCAGAGTAGGAGAAATTGATCTGAGAGAATCCCCAGTGTCTACTAGCATTTCACTATGTTGTCTAAAGGATGGCAGGGTGGAGTAGTGGATAGCCTTGAAGGATGAAAGACCTGGGTTCGAGTCTTGTCTCTGTTACAACCTGGCTTTGCAATCCTCGGCAACTCACTTAACTCCCCAATGTTCCAGATAACTTTCTAAGTTGCAGAGAAGATGGCTCCCAGTATTCCTAGAGTTTCCTCATCCCTATACCAGTGAAATCATGGGTCCTTCAGGCAAAACTTCCCTAGACTTTCTGGTCAGACCACTACATAAGGAGGGATTTTGTTGCTTCCCACAAGAGGTTAGGGTCAGTCTATGGGCCAAGGTTACACCCACAGTTGGGCAAAAGAGATCTCTTAAGGCCACGAAACAAAATTGTCCCTCCCCCCTCAAGAATAAAAATGTCGCAAATATCGTCGTCCTCCCGTTTTGGAGTTGTCGGTGAAGCAGCAGCATCTGTGAAGAGGATTAGGGAGGCAAGACAACACGGCCCACTGCTAAAAAGCTGGAAATGCGGATGGCAGGTTTTCAGCTCAGTTCATTTTGGCCAGGAAGCCCAAGAAGGGGCCTGAGGGCTCAACCTTTCTTCTGCTGGCAGGCCTGATGCAAGTTATTATTAAAATAGAGCCTGGCTGTGCGCCTCCCGAGCTGCCGTGCCTGCCCGCCCTCTTCTCCGTGGGGTCTGACTTAGCCAAACACCATCTGGATAGGAAGGGACAAGGGACTGGAACGGGACTTCACTGGGACAGGGTATTCTCAGATGAGGAAATTCCCTATACCAAGGCAGATCACCTTCCCTGTAATTATGGTCTTAGAGAATTGCCAAGAACATCGAGAGGACAAGGACTGAGCCAAGGTCACACAGATAGGGTGTGTCGGAGACAGGACTTGAACCCAGGTCTTCCTGGGTCTGAAGCTGAAAATCTTGAAAAATCAGTCGGTTCCATCCATGTGTTAAAACGGAAGCCAACTTCAAAGCCCCAGACAGCTGCGGCCTACATTATGGCAAGCCTGATTTTCAAATGGGGTAAATCTCAGGCAAATGTTTCTTTAAAGGGAGGCAGGATGAGGCCATCGAAAGACCCTGGGATTTAGAGTCAGAGGGCCTGGGTTTGAGCCTCGGGCACGTCGTTAACTCGCCGGAGTCTCGACCTCTATCTCTAAAAAGGAAAGGGTTAGACTGAGTGGCTTCTGGCGTCCCTTCTAGTACCAGGTCTATCAGCTTAAGGTCAAGTGCCTCAGTTTCCTCCTCTGTAGAATGAAGGGGTTGGAATGGACGGCCCGTACGTTCTCTGCATGGATGATTCCATGACCTCGTGACCACCTCTGCCTCATTCCAACGGGGACCAGGACGACAACTGGCGTGGAGTCCCCTCAGAAGCACCGCTTTCCCATCTGGTAACGAGGCCCTCCTGGACAGATGAAAATCTCTACAAAATCCTTGTGAAGGGACCCTGTGACACTAGCAGGGACGTGCTGAAGTCAGCTTGAACCTACAAGAGTGATTGTTTGATTTTCAGCGTAAGAACGTACACCCTGGAATTAGGCAAACACTACAAATCAGGGCCGTTTGATTGATCCTCTAGACTTAAGACAGTGATGGAGAAATGTGAATGATGAAGATGAAGCTTAAAAGTGTGTCATGCACACTTTTTTTATTTCAGAAAGCTGGTTGTTAAACATCGGGTAAACTAAACTAAAACTCATTTTTTTCCTTAAAACCTACTATCAAATTATCCTTATGTTAGCCTGTTCTTGTGATTTTGATTTTTTTTGAACTTTACATTTGAATACTTTGAAGGCGTTTACTTTGAAGACTTTATATTTGTCCCCAATGAATTTCATTTTATTAGATTTAGCCAGTACTGAAGTGAGCTAATCATTAAGTTTTCACTGTGAACATTTACACCTAGGAAATCGGCAAATGATACAAATCAGGGTTTGATTGACTGTTTTGTTGATTGTCTAGGCTTCAGAAAATGATGGAGAAATGTTAATAATACAGATTAAACTCAAAAGTGTGTCATGTTTTTAGGTGAGCTGATTGTTAAACATTTACCAGCACACCCCTGGGTTCAGCCCAATGTTTTAGGTCTTTGGGACCTTTGTGACTCTTGACTGTTATTCAACTTGTTAGCTAACTTTCCCAGTTTTGTGTCATCGGCAAAATTGATGAGTATGCCATCTATCCCTTTTTCTAAGTCCCTGAAAAACATTAAACTTTACCGAGTCCAGCACAGATCCCTGGGGCACTCCACTGCAGAATCCCTACACCAAGCTGACACCGAACCACTAATGATGAGTCTTTTAGTCTAACCCTTCAGCCAGCACCCAATCCATCTAACCTTATTGCCCTCTACTCCACGTCTCCATCTTTACTCTAAAAAATATACCTTATCAAGTTCTCTGCTAAAATCTAAGTAAATTATATCTTGGCATTCCCCCGATCAGCCACTATTGTAATCTTGTTAAAAAAAAAGGGAAATAAGGTTAGTCTGGTCCGACGTGCTCTGGTCGGGAGTAGGCTGAGTCTCTGAAATCACTGTGAACCTTTGTAGAGGTTCACTAACCATCTCTTTGATGGCGCGCTCTGTGATTTCCCCAGCAATCAAAATCAAGCTCATTGGCCGAGAGTTTGCAGACTTTGTTCTCTTCCCTTTTTTGAAAATCAGGACAACATGCACCCTTGGCCTGGTCCTGCGGGCCTCTGTCCTGTTTTCCGTCTGCATGAATCACGGTAGCTCCTGACTTGCATTGTAGCTACAGACTGTGAATTGAGTCATTGTAGCCAGCTGACTTGAATCCCACGAGAGCAGCTAAGCGTCCTCTTACCATTGCCGTGTTTATCTGCCAGTCATTTTTGTTTGTCAGAGCCAGGCAGACATTCTCTCCTCGGCAGAGAAAACAGAGACAAGATGGCGGCAGCTGTGCTATCAGCTGTCATGGCTCCTTGCACCTCAATCGGTGACCCCATTCCTTCTTTTAATCTCCTTTTCTCTCAACTGTGATGTTTAAAAAGTCTGAGACATAAATTTCTAAGTAATCATTTTATTAATAATGCTAGCGTTTTATTAATAAAAGAAGCCAGTGGCACTCTCTAATGCCAAAGACCCCACTCAACACTTCCATGCCCTTGGAAGTGTGGGGTGTTCCCAAGGGTGACAATTGACTCTGATCTGCTAACAATTAATGAGAAAATGAATATTACAATGAGATGTAGGCTCATTCTAATGAGGGTCTTGGGGGTACATAACTTGGTCACCCAAGTGTTGGTCAAAGAGACTTATCAACTTCCATATCACCCATCTGACAAAAGGGAGAATTCACATTTTCCAGGCCTGAGTAAATACAATGAGCAGGAATCTACCCGTTCACCTAAACTAGAATTTCTTTTACTGTCTTTGATTAGATCTCAGCCTGGGTAAGTCTTTGCCCAAGATTTCCCACACTGGTTGATTTCTGAATGAGGAAGTAGAAAAAGGGAAAAACCTTGGTCCCAGTACAGTAATTAATTATTAAATATGAGAGATATAATCATTTCTCTCACAACATAATGTTAAAAAAAAAACCCAGACGATGTGTGTGTGTGTGTGTGTGTGTGTGTGTGTGTGTGTACTTATTTTCTCTAAAGTCCTAAAACCCACCCCTCAACCTACTAAGTTAGTTACACCTCTCTGGCAATGAAGTGGGTTTTTTTTTTAAAATAATGAGTTGTCACTATGGAACGTGGCTATTCCACCAATCTTACCCATTCCATTTTGATCCCCAGTGCTGCATTGAGCTAACTCAGTCCTTTCAAATAATAATTGAAAGTGGCTACAAGAAAACTTGATGAGGCTGATTTGAGTTCTTCTTTGTCTATAACCTTTGCTATATCTGTGCCTAAAGGAATTCAGATTATTTGGCCTTGAGAAGAGATTGCTTGTGGACTTCTTTATTTATTTGTTTATGGATGGGGGAAGGGACTAATGCTTTTCAAGAACAAAAATAGATGATGGGAAATAGTCACTTGTTTCTACTCCAAATAAAATGAGGGGAAAATGGGTTTAAATTATAGCCTAAAGAATTTAGCTTAAAACTTTTAAATTTTCATTAATGGTAGAGACATAGAATACAAAAAAAAAGCAAAATTTCTATTATCTACTTCTGCAGACATTTTTTTTTTTGCCTCCAATGGGCTAGGTGAAGCTTTAACTAAAGGCATGTAAGTTATTTCTAAAGCCCGAGGATGATACTAAAATATGGCTCATTCTCTGAACGTCCACGAAGAGTTCCAACACCTTTCAACTTCACAAGCAGAAAATAGTCTACAAATAACAAAGGACAATGATGGGGAGACAAACACATTTATTTTAGGCCTGGAGAAGTTTTCGGTACCTACCCTGGACTTGGAGTTACCCATTCCCATTTCGATATCCTTCTGCAGTCTTCTCCTCCTGCACTTGGACATGTTAACAATCCGCATGACGAGATAAATGAAGGATTTGGGACTGGGCACCAGACTGAAGGGCGGGGGTAATGTTTTCCCATCATCAAAGTAAGATAACCAAAGTTTTGAGCGAGCAAACTTCCATTCAACATCACTGTCATCCTGTATCACAAAGGAAAAAAAAAGAGACACTGGCTTACATTTTAAACTAAATACTCTAGAGCAGAAGTGCTTAATAATACATCAGGGTCCATGAACTTATTTTCGTAACTGTATTGCAATATAATTGGTTCCCACTGAGCATGGCGGTACCATACATGATACTTATAATTCCTGCTTACTGGGGCTGAAGCTAATGGATTGCTTGAGTTCTGGAGTTCTGAGTTGCAGTAGGGCATAAACCAATCAGAGATCAGGTGTCTGCAATAAGTTGGGCACCAATATGGAAGAATAGGGGAGGGATGGCCAGTAAGCTTCCTAAGGAGGAGTAAACAGAATAGGTCAAAGCTTCCCAGTTGATAAACATTGGATTGGACCAATGAGTGGCCACTGTACTTCCAACATGAGTGAGATAGGGAGACAGTCTTCAGAAAATGGCTTTTACTTTTTTTTCTTTTTTTTCTTTCTTTCTTTCTTTTTTACAATTGCAGTTCAATATAACTGGCTCCATTTATAATCCCTAAGTTTTATTTTATGCATCTAAAACCAGTATCCTGAGAAGGGCTCCATCAGCTTCCTCAGGCTGCCAAAGTAGTTCATGACACAACACAGGTTACACCCCTGGTCTAAAGCACTAGAACCCAGGAGGACTTTTCCAATGCAAGTACACACAAATATGTAGGTGATTTATTATTTTATTAATCTTTGATTAGCTTTTCTTTATAGTGTAAACCCAAAAAGCAAATGAGATAACATTAATTACTATTGGTCCAGACCTACTATTTTCTCTCTATTAAATTTTTTATGAGAATTTATGAGACATATGTATTAAAGACATCCTTGAGGAAAACACGGGAATGCCGCAGGTAGGCTTCTTTCTACAGCAGACACACAATGGACTAGAAAATACAGTGAATACAAGGTCCTGCTGCGTTTATTGTTTGTCTTTACAAAAATGCATTTGGCTAAGTAGAGAAAATCATCGAAAGCCATCCCTCAACAAGGAATCTCTCATTTATATGTTAAGGTAATACAAAATCCTTGATGAACAAAACCCTAGAGATAATTGTTCTGTGGTCCTCTATTAATAGAAGATAATAATAATAATATCAAGGTAAGTGGGATTTCACTGATATTGAGAATTCTCAGGTGAGGAAACCCCCTCCACTTATGTAGGACAGCACCTTCTCTGCAATTTACAGTCTTAGAGAGTTGTCCTAAACACTGAGGGGTTAAGTGACCTGCCCAGGATGTCATGGTCAGTGTCTGTCAGAGGTAGGATTTGAACCCAGGTCTTTCTGTCTCCAAGGCTAGCTCTCTATCTACTGCAACACCCTGATCCGTGACTTCCAGGCAAGACATAAAACAGGAAGACTGATGGTAGCCCAACATGCTCACCATGGCATGGAGAATGCCCTGTATGAGGTTCAAATGGAAGAGGGATTCCCATAAATCACTGAGTACCCCAAATGGTCTTGTTTGTGGATGATATTGTGCGGAAAGCATCATGCCTCAAAACGTTATAATAAGGCTGAGACTATTCAAAAGAAAAGAGTCTAACAACGCATATGGGAAAAACTAAGTAGATGAAAAGTACCCATTTTCCAGTTTTTGAGAGACAGTTGTATGGCCAGCCCATCAAGCTGTGTCAGTACATATATATCCAGAAGTTCCACATCTCCAGCCACACTGCTGCCTCCTGCGTATTGTACCCCTCCCCATGGTTTTTTGCCTCTTGCTTTGGGAACAGTAGCCATATCAGTACTATCCTTGCTTCTGGAAATGGGATGTCCATTGATTCTCATTAGACTGAACTTACTACCATCCCTGTGACTTTTCCAACCAAAGCACAAATCCGGGGCCTCCACTTCTTTATATGTGTTCTCTCCCCCATAAGAATATAAGCTTCTTGAGGGCAGGGACTGTCTTGCTTTTGTACTTGTATCCTAAGTGATTGGCACAGTAAGTGTTTATTAAATATTTTTCATTCATTCAGTGTGGGACAGGCAATGTTAAGTTGACAATAATTCACTCTACCCAAGGTATACTCTTTCAGTGGGCTAGAGGTCTGTATAAGTTTGATCTGGTGGAAAATTGCATTTAAAAATCAGTACTGCCACTTAACTTCCTGTTTGACCTGGGATGTGTGTGTGTGTGTGACAGAGAGACAGAAAGAGAAAGAGAGAGAGAGAGAGAGAGAGAGAGAGAGAGAAAAAGAGAGAGAGAGAGAGAGAGATTTCTCCACCTCTCTAGACCTTGGATTCCTCATCTGTAAAATGAGGGGGCTGGTCTAATGTCCCTTCGAGCTCCTAACATTCAAGGCAAAGCCCCACAAATACCACGTTATTAGAATGCCCTAGAAAAGGAGGAAGGACTGCCCTCAAGACGTTACCTCGATTTCCTGGTAAGAGCTATTAATCATCGCAATCAGCATGTTCAAAAGAACCACGACCATAGTGACGTTGTATATTCCATACAGAACATAGCCGATATTTTCAATGAATTTGTGATCATATTTGAGCACCACGGATGTCACTTCAGACAATCCAAATATTGACCAAAATAAAGTCTTGAAGCTTTCTTCCACTCTGTCAAAAGAAGGAGGAGCACAGTGATCAATGAACTACATTCTTGGTACAAGGAGCTCAGATGTCACGAGTAATTAGACAGAGGAAAAACTCTGTAAAGCTCGGTTCCATGAGCCCGGAACCTGTCACTTAGTCTCTGTCTCTCCCACTCTCCTCATCTGTAAATGGAAATAACAGGAGCACATACCTCCTAGGGTAAGTGCTATGATTGCTGTGAGAATAAAATGAGATTATACAGGGCGTCCCAAAAGTCTTAGTGAATTTTTAAGTTTTAATAACTTCCATAAGAATAATAACAACTAGCATTTATACAGCACCTATCATGTCCCAGGCACTGTGCTTTACAAATACTGTCACATTCAATCTTCATAACAACCCTGAGAGGTAGATGCTATTATTATCCCCACTATACAGTTGAGAAACTGAGGTAGAGGTTAAATGACTTAACCAGGGTCACATACCTAGTAAGTGTCTGAGCCTGGACTTGAACTTAGGTCTTCTTGATTCCAGGGCCAGCGCTCTATCTATTCTACCACCTGGCTGCCGCTGTGCTTCAGAAGGACAAATGTTACTAACTTACAAAAAATAATGTGTGAGAGGTTAATTATTTAAATGTTCAAAATATTGATTTTTCTCATTAAAATCCCACATAACTAACATCTCATTCTATATACTACTTTTTGATCTTTGGAAAAACTTTTCTCAGCAGTTGCTCAGTGCCTGAAAGGACTAGCCTTCAGATAAGCCAAAGAACGAGGTTTTGATGCATACGTGACAGTTTTTAGGTGACCCCACAAGAAAAATCCAATGGAGATAGATCAAGTGACCAAGGTGGCTGAGCATGAGAATGACGTCTGCTGCTCCACAGGCAGAGAAAGTGTAAGCAGAAATCGTCACACATACAATGTGTAAGGACACGGCGTGCCATCCTGTCAAATGAAAACTTTATTATTCAAAATTCACAAAACTACTTAGTTTGAAGGAAATTATTCAGCATAAAAGAAATTCAAATATAGTTTCCAATTAATCTTTTTAATTGTAGCATTTATACTTCTGAAGTTATTAATGAATAAAACTGCACTAAGATTTTTGGGATACCCAGTATTTGTAAAAGTACTTTGAAACCCTTAACACATAGTATGTTGCTGTTTACTCATTTCAATCGTATCTGATTCTTCTGGGGATTTTCTTGGCAACAATACTGTAGTGGTTTGCTGTTTACTTCTCCAGGTCATTTTGTAAATGAGGAAACTGAGGCACACAGGGTTAAGTGACTTGCCCAGGGTCATACAGCTAGCAAGTGTCTGAGGCTGGATTTGAACTTATGAAGATGAGTCTTCTTTACTCCAAGTCCAGGGCTCTAACCACTATGCAACCTAGCTGCCCAAAGCACAATATAAATGCTAATTACTATTATTTTAGTTGTTGTTGATGATGACGTTATTATTGCAGAATGTGATCAGACTAGACATAGCCTCTTGGAAATTGCTTTCCAAGACTGGGAACCAGGGTGAAATGTACAGTGATGTCACACATTCCAGCCCATACATCTTTTGCCTACTCCTTTATCTTTTGATGTTTTGGAGATTTTATTTGTTGGTTTTGTTTGGGAATTCACATCTTTATCATTATTGAGGCTGTTCCCCAAACCCCACCTGCCATCTCCTTCTTCTAGACATTTGTACAGGTCATTCCCCATACCTGGAATGCCCTACCCTCCTCATCTCTAGTTTTCAAAATCCTAGTCCTCTTTCGTGGCTGAGGCTCAGATATCATCCCTCCATGAAGCCTCCCCTTCCCCTCCTAGCTGCAAGTGATCTCTCCCTGATCAGAATTCCTTCCATCACTTTGTCTGGATCTCTGCTTCTCCCCATCACACCCCACTTTATATTAACTTATCTGTGTTTACAATGCATTCTCTCTCTCTCTCTCTCTCTCTCTTTGTTTCTCTCCCTCTCTGTCTGTCTGTCTCTCTCTCTCCCTCCGTTCCTTCCTCCCTCCCCATAAAGGCACTACATACTTTTAAAATCTCTGTGTAACCCTATTTTCAATAGCTTCTCTCCCAGAGGCTTTGGCTATTGTTACTGTATTTCTAAGAGAGAGGAAATAGGATCCAGGGGGCTGACAGTTTAACTGCCATTGCAGAGACAGTCTGTGAGAGACTGAATGCTCCATCATGGCAGAAAAAATCTTTGAGATATTACGGTTAATTATTATGAGAGAACAAGTCTGTGAGATTTTGAGAATTCTGACAGCTCTCTTTAAAAGATTATGAAACACACATAGAGAGAGGACCAGGAGCATTTCTTTAGATCTAGCCTCAACAAAGATGAGAAATTGATATTCCTAAAGTACAGATCTGACTGTACCTGTCAGCAGGGCACTCTCCTGCTCAAGAAACTTCAGTGGCTCCTTACTGCTTCCTGGATAAAATACAAACTCCCCTGTTTGACTTTTAAAGCCCTCCACAATAGTTTATCTGTCAGACCTGTGGATAAGGGAAGAATTTAGAACCAAAGAAAATATAGAGAGCATTACAAAATATAAATTATATAGAAAATTTTGATTATATAAAATTGAAAAGTTTTTGCACAAACAAAACCAATGTAACCAAAATTAAAAGGAAAGTAGAAAACTGGGGGAAATTTTTTCTAACAAGTATCTCTGATAATTCCCTCATTTCTCAAATATATAGAGAACTGAGTCAAATTTATAAAAATATTCTCTCTAGGGACATCTAGGTGGCACAGTGGATAAAGCTCCGGCCTTGGAGTCAGGAGGACCTAAGTTCAAATTTGGCCTCAGACACTTCACACTTACTGGCTGTGTGACCTTAACCCTGTTACTTAACCCCAATTGCCTCATCAAAAAGCAAAAAAAAAATTACTCTCTCCACCATGTAAGCTAAGCCACAGAAACCTCTTCACCCTGAAGTTCACACTCCCCCTGGACTTCTCACACTGGAAGTACCCTGTTTCTCTAGCCTCTTCCTCTGACTGGCTGCTTCCTTGGCCTGAACGTCTATTTTAAGGACACTCACGCAATGTCAGGTCATCATTCTTCTCCAGGCTGTACTCCTGATTCTATGGATTTTTTCCGTCATCTCCTCCCACCCCACCTAAGCCAGCCACCCCCTTTCCCCTTTATCCCTTCCTCACTTTTTTGCTTTTCTCCCATTAGATTGTAAGCTCCTTGAAGTCAGGGGTTGTGTCTCCTGTTTCTAGTTGTATTCCCAGTGCTCAGCATGGTGCCTGGCACATAGTAAGGGCTAAGTAAATGCCCTTGTTGACTTGGCTTTGAGAGTTCACTTCATAGAGAGAGTCAGTGCACTCAGAAAGAGTCCAATGAGAAAGTCTGGAAAGATATTTTGAGAGAACTGAGTCTAACATTTATTTTGCGGAAAAGACATACTGAGAAAACGTTTTAATGGCCATCCAGACAAAAGACGTTGTGGCCGGACTGTGGTTCTTGGGTCTACAGAAGAGTTGGTGAAGCAGCTGTAGCCAATGACTAGAGGCAGACTTTGTGATCTTCCTCATAGCCCGTAAACTGCTGCAACACATATACACACATCATCTATTACTAAGTAATATCGCCAATAATCCCAATGTTTATCTAAGCCAGCAGATGGACCTGAGACTGAGAACAGAGAAAAAGCTTATGTGAAAAGAGACCTCTCTTGTTTTCAAAAACTGGGGTGGGAACTTGGAGCTAATTAATTACTTAGGTAGTTTCTGAGAGAAACTATGAGGTAATATTGGAACATACCCCTTGATAGCCTAATTAAGAGAATTAGTGAATCATAAATGAGCCAAGAAGCAGGTTGAGGGGGGAGGCTGGCTGTGTGTTTGCCCCGACACACCCTCCATCTCACATCTGCACACAAAAATTGCTCCAGATGACTTACCAAAATCCCTGTTACAAGAAGCTTTGCTACATTCATATCCTTAGGATCAAAGCCAAACAAATGTTTGTTGAATTAAATTGAGAATTAAATTGCTTTTTCTCTTCCCATCACAGAATGGATTTCCAAATATTCAGCTGATCTGAGACACAGTCCTGTGAGTGGACAGGGATGGAATGACAAATACTATTTCTCATAAGGAAAACTGTCTATAGCCACAGCCACAGAAGGAACAATAACTTTTCAACAAGGTCTCAACCCAGCTTTCTTTGGGTAAGTCAAGACAACTGGTACAGAGATGACACCAGTGGTAGGAACTGAGACACACAGACAAAGGAATTCCGAAAAGCAAGATTTCACCGAGGTTGAGACTGGTCAGTAAAGACTGTAGAGGAAAGGAGGGTTCACTCTTGAAGGACAGTGAGAATTTGGATCTGGTGAGAGGAAGAGACAAGGTATTTCATGAAAGTGACACGGCTAAGCAAAATTGAAGAGATGGGAAAGTACAGGGTCTGGAAATGGGTCCAGACTGGACCTGTGTGGCTACAACTGAGGATTTCCTTTAGGGAGCAGTTTGCCAAGAAAGCAAGCTGGGCAGGTGGGTTGGGACTTTGGTCTGAGATTATGGATTTAGTTAGAAGGAGTCATCTAGTTCAGAGTTATCATATACATGGCACACAGGTTGTATGTGGCCTGCAACACTCCCAAATACAGCCAGAACCTAAAGAAAAGATAACTGGGAAATACTTGACAAAATAAATAAAAATATAATAAAACATAGATAACATTATACTTTAAAACTGTCAACATGGAGTCCTCATGGATCCTTACTTAGGGATTAGCGGCCCCTGTTTCTATATGAGTTTGACGCCCCAAAGAGTGGTTTGGTTCTATGGCTCTCCTGAGATCCTGTCCAACGTTACCAACTGCCTGTTGGACATTCTGAACTGGATGTGCAATAAGCATCTCAAATTCAACATATGCAAATAAGAACACATTACTTATTTGGTCAAGGATACCAGCATCCTTGTCCAACCTTAGTGCTGCCCTCATTACTTTTCTTCATGTCCCACACTAGGTTCATTTCTAGAACATCATCCGTATCCCATTCCACAACTATGGATGTCCCCCACAGCTCTGCCCTGGGTCCTCTTCTCTTCTCCCTCGGTTAGCTTACTAGCTCCCAAGAGTTCAACTTTCATCTCTGTTCAGACGCCTTCCAGATTCACATACCCAGTTCTACTCTCCCATATTCACGTTATTGTGAAGTCTTGTTGATTCTGTCTCTGGAATATCCCACACCAATCTCCTGTCTACTCACACGGCCACCACCCTCCTGCCTGGACTATCATCATGGCCTCCTAATTGGCTTCTCTGCATTTATTCTCTCCTCTCTAATCATACTTCACATAGTTGCCAAAAACGATGTTCTTAAAGTATGAGAAGGACAATGCCTTCTTCAAGATGCTATAGTGGCTCCCTATCATGTCTAGGCTCAAATGCAAACTCCTCTGTTGGCACTGAAGGCCTTTCAGAATATGGCTCCTGCTTACCTTTCCAGGATTATTTCACATGCCTCCCCTTCACGCACTCCAAATGGCCCTGCTAAACCTCCCTCACATAAGACCTTCTATCTCCTTTCTCCTGAAAAGGCTGTCTAACCCCCATGGGATGCCTTCTCTCCTCACTCCCACCTCTTGAATCCCAAGCCCCCTTCAAAGCTCACCTCAAGTGTCTCCTCCTCCATGAGGCCTTCCCTGATTTCTGCCTAACTGCTAGTGCCTCCTTCAACTAAAACAACAACAAAGAACAAACCAAAAAAACACCCCTTGGATTTACTTTATTTTATATGTACTTACATGAGTACATGAGGCATCTAGGTGGCATGGTGGATAGAGTGCTGTACTTGGAGTCGGGAAAAGCCGAGTTCAAATTCTGCCTCAAACACTAGCTCTGTGACCTGGGCAAGTCACTTCAACACCCAGCCTCAATTTCCTCATTTGTAAAAGAAAGATAATAATAGCACCTACCTCACAGGGCTGTGGTGAGAATCAAATGAGATGTTAATCACTTTGCAGAAGTTAAATCAGCACATAAAGGCTGGATTATTAGGTGGTTGAGGTTGTTCCCTCAATAGAATGCAAACTCCTCGAGGGCAGGGTTGGTTTTGTTAGTTTGTTTCTGTATTTCCAAAACCCAGCATGGTGGGGGCGCATAGTAGGGGCTTCACAAATGCTTGTTGATTGACTGACGGACATTTTGGATAATGGGAAACTGAGGTGCAAAGACTCTTTCGAGGTGACAATTAGCCCAGCCCCTTGTTTCATAGGTGGGACCCACAGACATTAAATGACGTGTCCAAGGTCACACAATAAGAGTCATGACAGAGTGGAAAGAGTACTGGCCTTGGAGACAGGTCCCTGGGCTTGGTTGATGGCTCTATCTACTACTGCTACTTGGGTGACTCCTCACCTCTGCTGGCCTCAGTTTCCTCCTCTGTAAAGTGAGAGGTGGGATTGGATGGTTTCTAAGGTAATTTCTAGCTCAAAATTTATGATCCTATGATACAATGCCCACATCAGAGACAGAAGCTGTTTCACACAGTTGCCAAGACTGAAGGACAGAGCATGGCTCACCTCTTAATGTCTACAATATATGTCCAGACAATTGTTTTTGTGGTTCAGTATGGCAGCTATGTGGCGCCGTGCCAGGTCTAGAGGCAGAAAGACCTGAGTTCAAATCTAGCTTCAGACACTAGCTGTGTGACCCTGGGCAAGTCGCTTCCCTGTTTGCCTTAGTTTTCTCATCTATAAAATGAGCTGGAGAAGGAAATGGAAAACTGCTCCGGTATCTCTGCTGAGAAAACCCCCCAAATGGGGTCATGGAGAGTCAGACATGACTGAAAAATAACTGAACTGAAATGGAAAAAATGAGCAGAATCAATGCCAGTTATGGCTTAAGATTCTTTTTCAAAAAGCCAGCACGTCCTGAAGCCAAGTCCTTTTCCAACAAAGTTTGTACATCACAAGACTGATGCCCGTCCCAAAGACTGGTCCTTCAAAACAGAGCTTTGCTGGCTGAACCACAACACTGTATATAAGCAAGAGCACATTTCTCTGCTGGTTCAGGAAGCTGGAAAATGAAGCTGGATCCATAATGATTTGGACAGGCTAAATGTGGTGGGTCAAATCAAACAAGAGGAAACATTTTAGAGATAACTTTATATGCTTTATCTCTCATTTTTTATTTGTTTTTGTGGGGAAATATTGAGTCTTTTTTGCATTTGGAAAAATTCTGAACTTGTGGAATTTAATTATAATAAATGTGAAGTCCTTTTGGAATGAAAAAATGACTTTATAAATTCTTGATGGGAGAGACATAGTCAGACATTAATTTGTCTGAAAAAGATCTCGGGGTTTTAGTGAACCAGAAGCTTACTACTCCAATGGCCTTGATATGGCAGCCAAAAAATCTAGTGTGGCTTCAGGTTCCTTTGGAGGGTGTTACCTGCGTACTCTCTCCCTGTTCAGAAATGACCTAGCAGAGGTGTGAAACCTGCAGTAGCAAAACTGAGTGCGCTGAACCAGATTAAAATGTAATTGAGAAATGTTTAGTAAAATAAATAAAAAATGATACCACATAGATCATACGAATTTGTGGTTTTCTAGGGCCACATGCTGTCTTCAATGATTCATTTCTATTGAGTTTGTGTTTAGCTGTTATCTTTACCAGATTTCTCCTTTGCTCCACCTGTAGCTGTGAGGATTGTTCATTTGATATTGTTTTAAATGAAGTCTTTACACAACAGATTTGCAGTTTTATGTGCAATTGTCTTTTTTATTATTATACTGTATCATGGAAATGCCTGTTTTATTCCATAAATTAAAATTAAATAAAAATGAAGTCTTACTTACGTGGTAAAAGCAGGGTTGACTTTGGCCCCCAGGTAGTAGGAATACAGTATGAACATGCCAATCATAAATGCCAGGAACACCATAATGAAGAGGACCATGAACTTGAAGATGTCCTTCACAGTCCTGCCGAGAGAAATCTGCAAGGGGCCGAAGCTTTCATTGGCCGGCAGGATGTAGGCGATCCGGGAGAAGCTGAGCACCACAGCTATGGCATAGAGGCCTTCGGATATGATCTGAGGATCAGAGGGGAGCCATTTATCTCTAGCTGGAGAGGGGAAAAAGAGGTTAAAAAAGAGAGGTTTCCATTTATCATTGAGTATGCTTGCCAGCAGCATCCACTGTGGCAGGCAGCATTTATCCTGTGGAGGCTCCATGCTGTTGTTGGAACAATCACTCCCCTCTTCCCATCCTTCCTTTTCACTCAGACTTCAATTAAATGTTCTTTTCAATAGGGGGTGGAACAATCACAAATGCATGTGTTGTCTTTTCCAACTGGGAGAAGGCAAAATAAAATACTTAAGGGGAAGATAAAGGGGAAAAATCCCTCTGATATAGGCTGGGGTAACATGATGTCCAAACAACTGAAATGGACTCATTTTTTTCCACACCATTGGGTAAATAAGACTAGCTGTAACTTCTGTATCAATGGGAGGTTTGCAAAGTATTTTTTACATACTTAGGCTGCTGGAGCCTAAGGTGACCTTCCGTTTCCTTTTGGATCTAAGGACTGATTTATGTGTGTGTGGTCTCTCCCAATGGTAGATAAGATCCCTGAGGGCAGGCACCAAGGTTTTGCTTTTGTCTTTGTATCCCCAGTACTTAGCACTGTGCCTGGCACATGGTAGGTGCTCACTAAATGCTGACCGATTTGTTTCACAACAATCCCAGTGACGTCATCACTATCATTCTCTCTAGTTTACAGCTGAAGAAACGAAAATGGTGGGATTCTAACCCAGAACTTTTTATTCTATTTTACTAACATCATAGAGCCAGAGCTGTTAGGAAACTTCTGTCTAACAGTGTTCAGGGAACCAAGTTCTCTGAGCATAGTCATCTAGAAGAAAACGTCCCTCTCTACTCAAGAGAGACTGGAGACTACTACACAGGGTCACTGGCTGGCAAGCGCATGACTATAAGTGAAGGGCATGGGTTGTTATATGTGGCATATATAACGAGTCACAGTGCTTTTCTTTTATAGCCTATGTATCTGCCCATTCCTCAAGAGATAAAATCCCAGGTTCTTTTCATAAGGCTACCCTGAAGTCAAATGCAAGCAATATCTAACTCTGTAGGATAATAATGGCTTACATTGATATAGTTAAGCTTCACAAAGCCCATTTTATCCATGATCTAATTTGATCCTCAAAATCACTCTGAGGAAGGTGCAATTATTATCCTCATTTTACAGATTGGAAACTGAGGCTTAGAGATATTAAATGGCTTGCGCATTGGTGGGCATCTGAGACAGGATTTGAACCTGCCGTCCTGACTCCAAGTCTAATACATTAGCCACTAGGCTGCACCACGCTGCCTCTAAAGACAAAATAACTAGCCTAATATGCATATACCTCAACTCTTTCTGTGTTTCACCCCTTGAAACACCTGTTTTCCTTCCATTGTATCTTTCTCTGTTCATGTTTCTATGAGAGAATGGCAGCTCGAACCCCACTTCAACATAATTACAGAAATCCCAAGCAATAAACAGTTTAAACTCAACATTAAGTAACATTCCTAAAACCCTATAATAGGTGAAAACAAGTCCTTGACCAATTTGAAAGACTCACAGGGCTTTACTCATTGGATGAAGGCAGATTAGCCACAAAGAAAATATCTTATGATGGACTGCAAAGATCCCCTTGGTCCACACACACACACACACACACACCCCAAGCCAAATCGCAAATCTACCAGTCAAGTAGTGAGCCAGTCCAGTGGAGGAGGACTTCAACTCCAAGATTTAAGGATTCCAGTTCCAGAGCTGAAGTCAAGCCTTTGAGAGGGAACAGCTATTGGTAGGAGGAAGGAATTTCTCTCTTGCTTTTCTATCCCACCCTCACCTTTGACCACGTCATCAGAGAACCTGGATCAGTAACAAATAGGATAACCAGCTAGGATAAGAGAAAGCAGACCCATAGGAAACACCTCATCCAGCCAGGAGCAGAATGGACACTGAGGACAAATTGCTGTAGAAATGCAGTCATCATTTCAAAGAATAAGACCCAGAGAAGAACATCAGTTCTGGACTCAAAAAAGGACTTCCAGGCCATAAAGCACAAGCAATTATGAGTTACTCTTTTGCTACACAGATATCTAAATGTGTGCCTCAATATCACTGTGTCTCCAAATTTAAGTCTGCTCTTCTCATGGACCTGGGTATATCTGTCAGGGAGTATGCCCCATGGTTGGGGGGCATAAGGGAATGTTTCATACCACTGTTCTCACTATACCACTTTAGTGGATGCTTTTGCTAAAATCTTATTAAATCTACTGGCTGATTATTAATGGGGAGCACACCAGTGGGGGCTTGTGAACAAAGGTACTAGAAACCCTTATCTTAGAAACCTGAGTAGTAGTTGAAAAATTGTAAACTAAGAGAAATGCAAATTGGCAAAGATGAAAAAAGACAGGAATGGATGGTGTTGGAGGAGCTGTGGAGAGACAGGCACACTGATGTTGGTGAAACTCTGAATTGGTGTAACCATTCTGGACATCTTGATCCAAAAAAAGGTAATATTTCAAAAATCTCATAAAGAACAAAAAAAAATAAGGAATTAGAGGAGAAGGGAGGAAGGATACCATATAAAAAATAAGGTCTAGATTCTTAAAAATTTACCAACCAAACAACTATAGCAAAAGACTGTTTTGATAAAGCTACATAGTTCTCATGGCTATATTAGGAGGAATCATAGAGCAGCTTGAGTAAGCAGTGGATGAGAGCTCTATGGAATGCAAGTTGAATTAGTTGATAAACATATATGGTTTCAAAACTGACTTAGCCTATTCATATTTTTCTGACACTGTGGCAGCGTACAGACAGGTGATGGATGGTCTGTACTTGGGCTGGCTTAGCTAAGTTCGTAAGTGTTCAACTCACAGAATCACAAAACCTCAGAGTTAGCAGGGACCTTAGAAGTCAGCTAGTTCAACACATACCTGACTAAGAATTTCTACTACGATTCACGCAATGTGCGCTCACCCATACTTTGCCTGGTGAATCCCCTCCTGGGTGGGGGAAAATGGTGGGCCCGTTCTACTTGTGGGTAGTGGATAGTTAAAGACCTGTTGATAACTCCTACTAGGGAAACTGAGAATAGTGATGGTAACTCTTGGGGCAGGAAGTGGGGAGGGAGAGGGAGAAAAATTTAAAACTCAAAAGCTTATGGAAGTGGTGGTTGATAAATCAAAATAAATTAATTTTAAAAATAGCAATGATAACTAGCATTTATATAGAGCTTGAAGCTTTGCAAAGCACATTTCAAATATTATCTCATTTTATTCTTGAAACAACCCTGATAGAGAGGTTATTATTATCCCTATTTTAGAGATGAGGAAACTAAGGCAGGCAGAATTGTTAAGTGACTTGCCCACGATTACACAGCTGGTATGTGTCTGAGGCAGGATTTGAACTCGGGTCTTCCTGACTCCCAAATTCAGATTTCTATCCGCTACACCCCCTGGAAGCAACTCATCTGTAACTTACACTCTTGCTGCTGCTGCTACTTGTCCTTGGCTCCCAAAGAAGACCAAGACATCAGGGAGGTGACGCCACCAAGTGAAAGTGAATTAGATTTAAGTGAGGGCGGGCTGTGCAGAGTTACCAGCCTCACTTTCTCCTCTGGAGCCATCTGGATCCAGTGGCCAGATATAGATCAGGGTGACTAGAGGCGGTCCAGGATGCAGTGGGGGACCTTGTCTTTTCAAACTAAAGTTTCAAACTAAAACTTGAAGTCTTTCAAACTAAAGTTTGACGGAGGCAATGCCCATTCAGTAACTGAGGTTTAATAAGAATTGAGGCAGAGAATGGCCTCTTCACCTAGTCAGATTGGTGATTATCTCAGCCTGTCATGAGGGAGAATGGGGTTTGATTCCCTGACAGGGAGACAGGACATTTTATTTATTTAACTTATACTCTTAGATAGCTGCTCAAGGAACTGAGAGGTTAAGTGATTTGCCCACGATCACAAAGTTAGCACGTTTCAAATGAAATCGTTGGACCTCAGTCACCTTGACTTTACTAATGTTGTACTGCCCATCACAGTTCTGGAACAAAGTTGAAAGGGGGCTTTTCTTTTTCATCTCTCTTCCCTTTTTTTTAAAAAAATTTTGTATTTATTCCAATTACATGTAAGAACAATTTTTAACACTCATTTTTTAAAAATCTGAGATCCAAATTCTCTCCCTCCCTTCTTCCTTCCCCTTTCCCCCTCCTTGAGAAGGAAAGCAATTCAAAACATGTGCTGTCATGAAAATGTATATATAGAGAGAGTGAAAGAAAACCCAGATTCTACATGTGCTGTCATGAAAATGTATATATAGAGAGAGTGAAAGAAAACCCAGACCAAAGAGAGAAGGCTTTTCCTAACAGCAAACCGAAGTCAGTTTTTCCAGAAACTTCCATCTGTTACTTCTAGTTCTGCCCTCCGAGGCCAAGCCAAGCAATAATTACAGCTCACATTGATACAGCCCACTTTAAAGTTCGCAAAGCACTTGACGTACACAACCTCTATCGGTCATCACAACAACCCTCAGAGTTAACTGCCATCATCCCCATTTTTGTTGTTCAGTTGTTTTTCAGTTGTGTCCGACTCTTCGTGACCCCATATGGAGTTTTCTTGGCAAAGATGCTGGAGTGGTTTGCCATTTCCTTCTCCAGCTCATTTGACAGATGAGGAAACTGAGGCAAACAGGGTGAAGTGATTTGCCCAGGGTCACACAGTTAGTAAGTGTTTGAGACAGTGGCAGGGGCCAAATTCTGACTCTGGTGCTTACCTGAGCAACCTTAGACAAGTCACTTAATCTCCACAGGCCTCAGTTTCCCCATTGATAAAATGAGGATGGTGGAATGAGATGGCCCCTTGAGATGAGATAGAAAGGATTCCTTCCAGTTCTAGAGCAGTGACCTTACACATTTTCCCAATGCTTTCTTTATTTTCTGACTGTGGATATGTGGTTTAATTACTCTAAAGAACTCTGAGGGAATAGTCCTTCACTGATTCTGATGGCCAGCTCCTTTGTAACTGACAGTCGTCAAGTTCCCTGGGAGTACTGAAAGCTTAAGGAATCTGCCAGGATGTGGTGGAGGCAGGACATACGCAGGCCTTCCTGACGTCGAGGGAGTGGAGTTCCTTGCTTTCTCCCTCATTTTAAAACTTCTAGAGGGTCTTCGATGGGGAACTTACCATAAGTGAAATACTGTATCTCTGGAGGCAGAGTGACTTCACTGAGGTCACTTTCTTCAATATAACTGTCCACATACTGCTGTGCTCTGGTGGCCTGCAGAAAGGCTAGAAATCGGGCTGTGAAGGCAGCGATGAAGATGGAAAGCATCCCGAAATCAAGCACATTCCACAGCTGTAAGATGTATTCCCTGGGCCCTTCCAGCCAGAGCTCCTTACATTCTGACCACATCATCCCTGTTGGATTGACCAGAGAAGAGGCACAGTCAGGGTTCCCATCAAGCCAGCTTTGTCCCCATTGCTAGTAGCCATTCCTATGGACAGGAAGCTTCCCTTGAAAAGGCATCTGGCTCAGCTCCTTGGAGGCCCAAGAAACCAAGCCTTTATCTTTAAAGAACTGATATTCAAATAGCTAGTCATGTGAAAATACCAAGGCAAGATAAATGGAAGTGCAAACTGATAGAAAGTCATCCACCCCAGAGGCAGGTAGGTGGCACAGTGGATAGAGCACCAGCCCTGGAATCAGGAGAACCTGAGTTCAAATCTAGCCTCAGATACTTATTAGCTCTGTGTGTGTGTGTGTGTGTGTGTGTGTGAGAGAGAGAGAGAGAGAGAGAGAGAGAGAGAGAGAGAGAGAGAGAG